ACATCTCTGTGCTGTTTATGCGAAGGGAGAGATGAAATACAACACCCAAAGCTCAGTCTCACAGCCACCAGGGCTTCATTGGAGCAGCGGAGACTGGAGTCAGGGCCGGTCACCCGCCAGCCACCGGGATTGGTGGACTTGTTCTGCCGGCAGCGGTTCCTTTTCTGGTAACTCCTCGAAAGTGAGCCACAAATTCAAAGACTTTTCACGCTGGGAAGCGTTGGGGGTCTCTTGCCTGATGTTAGTCAGACAACATCCTTGCAGAGGTTAAATAACCTATGGAGAACGGATGTAACGTGAGGGTTGTGGTCTGCATTGCAGAGGCGGAGTGATTTTAGGGAAATAGGGGGCAATAGTTCTGTTCTTTTTGGTCACTTTTATTGGTATATTTAGTTGCTTTTAGATGTTTCTCGTGGCTCAAGCAGCACTGTGCAGCAAGCTAAGAACTGCTCTCTGCCTCGGCAGCGGCCCGTGGTGTTTGTCGCGGGCTTGCTCAGCGTGTGAATCACCGTCTGCTCTAAGTGACGAGCCGGCAGTGGCTCCTGAGGAGCCCCGTGCTGCGAGGGGGGCAGAGCTCCAGGTTTTCAGCTTTTTTCTTATGAATGTTTTTTTCCACGTGTCTGTCAAAGGATATCTCAGGGAATTCTGGCGGAAGGAACAAGATGGCACTTCTAATAAAGGCCTTTAAGAAAAATTTTAAGTGATAAATTTTAAAAATATCATATCCAGTGTCCTTGATAAAATGTGAAAAGAGGGGAATAAACGAGAGATAAGATTTCCGCTGCTGTTAAGTCAGTGGTTTCATATCCCTCCGGTTGTTATTAAGGAGGCTCCATCACCAAACACAGGGGTGACTGGGAAGGGAGTAATTGTAAGTAAAATGGATAAAATTGAATCTCTAGTCTTTGACAGAATTGCAAATACCACATAGATTTTTGCTCTCCAGAATTCTTTTCCTCTTCTAAATGAGTCAGAAATAGAACTTCAAGTAAAATTAAAGTTCTCCCCTTTACCATAGGTGCTGTCGCTAAGTTGTAAATTGAATTCTAACTGATAAAAAATGAGCTACATATTTTGTAAATTATAATAGTTGATATAGATTAATGAGTTTATTATTTAAATGCTCAGTATTTAGTATCAATATACCTATAGACAAAGCAAAATATTTCTTATGTTCATGATATTGAAAAACAGCCAATATGTGGGGGAGACGTGATGTACTCAGAGTCTCTGAGGGAAAGTAATACATGGCAGATTCTGAAGAGTCAGAATATAAAACAGAGGAAGAGAGAGAACCAGAACCAAACCCTTGTGGCTGCTGGAGGCTGGGTTGGAGGGTGTGGTCTTGAGTCTGCTGGCCCCCTGGGCCTGCCGGAGAACCCCGTAATTAGGCAGGATCTGCCCGCCCAGGCACGGGACTTGACGGGCAGGCTCCGAACTCTGGAGATGCTGCAGAGAAAGAGCTCGCTGCAAGCGCCCAAGACAGAGAAGAATGAGCTGTCACGCAAACTCAGTACTCTCCCCACATTCACTCATCAGATCCTCAGTCCATCTCCTTCAGGGGTAGAGAGAGTAGGGGAGGGGGAGGACAGAAGGGCACGTCAGTTGAGCAGCCTCCTGGGTGGAAAAGTCATCCCTGGAATGGGGAGAAAGCACCCCTCCCCAGCATGTATCCAAAGGCATAGATGAAAATTGCAGGGTAAATAGATGGTTTTCTACGAGTGGATTTTCCCCTACGTAAGTTCTGACTTCTCTCTCTGATGATGTCTATGTGGTAGATACCTAGCAGTGAAAATTCTGTGCGGAAGGGAGAGATGGTGAATTACTGGGATACAAGTGGAGTTTAGAGAGTGCACATCTCATTGCATCATTTGTTCACTCACTCATCTGACAACTCTCGATTGAGCACCAGGATGGTTGCATGTGCCCCGTGAGGGAGGGGTGGGATGGTGGGAGGCAGACGCCAGCTTTTCCTTAAGTGTCAGCACAGTTGGTGAGGCGAACATTCAGACGTGACAACTCGGGGGCAGGAACAGCTTCTGAGAAAGTGGCATTCAGCCTGAAACCTGAGATGAGCTGCGTTAGTGCTTGTGAATGGTCATTTTTTTCACCTTCTCTGGTTTTTATTTCTTTGTTTTATCTGTAGTTTGCCTGAAGCAGACCATTAAGCAAAATCTTCCCAGAAGGTTACATGAGATATACAGAGACTCTCGGAATGATTTTCTCTTAGAATTACTTCTTCATTTAGTAAAATAAAAAAAAAAAAAAATCTTGCCAGAAGCTTCCTCTCAGTGTTGTTCTTCATTCCATTTACCCAGGAAATAGAATCATTTTTCCTTCTTCCAACTCAGGTCTTTCTTTAGAGCAGGATTTTTTTTCTTCTGTGTCTTTATTGCTTTATTCTACTTATCTTTTCTTCAGAAAGAGAGATTATCTGCATGATGACTCTCCATTTCATGCCTTCCATATGAGCATCTCCTCCCTCATCACACAAGTCTTCATTCTTTATCCCTCCATCTGGAAGATCTTCAAGTATCTTCTAAATTGCTAAATCCATTTTCCTGCTCTGTTAGATCTACTGTTTGCTATTTCTAATATTGATTTTGAAACTTGGTTGTGTTTTAGCTTTTTTACAATCTTTTCGTAGTCTGCCCTGCTCTTTAAAAAATTTCTGTCTCCATCTTAAGCTGTTATTAACTCGACTCTCTTTTACGGGCAGTATAGCGCAGTGGTTAAGGGTCCACCTTGAGCATCCAGGCTGCGTGGGCCTCCTTAGGGCTCTGCCACTCACTGGCTGTGTGACCACACGTAGTTTGTGTCAGCTGCTAGTGGGAGTCCTCATCTGTGCAATGGGGACAATAATATGCCTGTCTCTTGGAGCTGTTGCGAGGACTGAGTCAATTCATGTAAAACACTTAGACTAGTGAGTAGTCAGTAACTTTAATTTTTAATTAATCTATACTCTATACTTTCTTAAATTATTCAGAATAATTATTTGGAATTCCGCCTGACTATTGTTGCATGTATCCATATGTGTGCGCGTGGATATGTGTGTATTTTGTATACCTTTTAAGGCAGCAAGTCCCATTGAATCTTAGTTTTTCTTAATTCTTAATTCTTTCCATAATTCATTTGATTGTCCTTACATGTATCCTCTTAGGTATCAAACTGGTGGATTGAGTGGTGTGTAGCTTCTTTAGTCAAATTTCTGGGAATTTGCAGTGTTGGCTTAGTGTGGTCTACTGACTTGAGGACAGAGACCTTGGCCATGAGCATTTTAACATGGATGGACTTAAGGTTGGCCCATCCCTAAATAGAGGCCATCTCTGATTCTTCCTTTTCCAGGAATGGGACTGGTGACTCACAGTCCCCAGCTGGCATGGCTCCCACAGCTCTGCCCGCTTCAGCTCCTGTCACTTCATCCTTCACACGGTACTTACGCAGCATCGCTGCCGCTACTTTTGCTCTCAGCTGCGTTGTGTTGCAGGTACTGTAGTCTTAGGGAGAGAGGAATTAATGGGGCATGAAATAAGTTTGGCCCTTCAGAAAGTAGCACTCATGTGATGGATAAGCAGCTTCTCACTTTCTTGTTGAAAAAGATTCTGCGTCTGTGAGCTGGGTGTTGTAGTGGGTGAGGAGGAATGGAAATCCTCAATCACATGTTTCGCATCTTTTTATCCTGAAGGAGAGGTGTAAGACGGTGGTTAAGAATTCACAATACAGACTCACATAGATCTCGTTCAGATTCCAGCTGATAGCTGGGTAGCTTAGGTCGAATGAGTTAATCTCTTTGAGCTGGAGTTTCTTCCTCCATAATAAATGGACATAATAAAAATGCCTATGGGAGCTTTTAAATTAGAGCGTGCTCAATAAACGGCAGCTCTTATTAGCTTGAAAACATCCCTCTTCCACCAGCTCACAGCACACTTCTGTCCTTCCTTGGGGTGTGGGGCTCAAGACCCAGCCCCAGTTCTTGTAGAAAGCTGTGAAATTGGTGAGAGGTGCCTACGGGGGAGTCCGTGGTAGGATGGCAAATGTAGTGGAGGTTAAGGGCCGATCCAGCTGATCAGCTAGACTGGGGAGTGGGGCACATGAGTCACCCTATAACCAAAATTCTCCAAGTTCCAGAGGTGATTGAAGACTCTGCAAGACAAGTTACCCCAGAACGCAGACTTGATGGGTCATGTCTTTTGACCCTTGCTCTGGCCGTGACACAAGACCACTCTTGGCAATCCACATTTCCATTATTCCTAGCACTTTCTAGACTGAGACATCTCCCTGGGTGGAGGGACCAAGGGGTTCAGGCTTCCACCTCCTTGTGACCCCAGACCTGGGGACCTTTTCCTCTTCTTCATTTTGGATCTCTTCACTGGTCCTTGGGGTTCTCAGACAAAAAGGGCTTATCCTCCAACACCTTCCCCCCTTTTTAAAGGCAGAACTTGATGTCTCTGGTGATGCCCACATCTGTAACATCTCAAATTTAACTTAATTACCGAAAATGGGGGCCTTTTCTTATACAGGATCTTATTTGCCTTTTTTTAAACCTTTAATATTTCACCCAATACTTTTCATATATCATAAGAGAACCAACATTCCCAAAACAATTCTATTATTCCTGTCCCTAAAATAGAGACAGCGGCTGGGAATTCATTTCAAAAAGGGCAGTTGGTTATATTTATACAGTAACTATTATCCTTGATCTGGCCCGTCTGCCACAGCGCTTCAGCTGAACTTTGATTGGAAATTCCTTGGGGATTCTGGCTGATAATCCTCTGGTATTTCTAGTTTCTGATGCTGTTGAAACATTTTATTTCTTTCTGTTTTCATGAGAACAAATCAAGAATCATGAACTTTCCAGTATCTTATCTCAGATTCCCTCATTCATATTTATGGAATGGGTAATTTTCAGTCTTTGAATACAAAGCTCAATTTATGTAAATTTTCCTAAACATCCTGAAGACTAATTTAGTAATTCTTTGTAATGTTACCTTCTCTTTCAGCTGAATTTTATTCTGTTTCTGAATACGGTTAGAGTTCTGGCCACCAAAATCTGGGAGACCAATGCGGTCGGTCACGACACGAGAAAGCAATACAGGTAATTCCAGCATCGGCATCCGTCAGAGGAAATACTCTGGTTACTGTGTAGAGCAAAGAGCAGATAGCAATTGATCTGAAATGTCTGTCAGAGATAAATTTATGAATGTAGACTTTTGTCTGGTTCAATTGTGCCATTTATCAGAAAAGTATATATATTTTAGGAAAATATGAATAACCCCAAATCTTCCCAATGTGCTTAAATTCTAAGTATATTTTTTTATCTGTTCTTAGCAGATTGGGATTTTCCCATAAACTATGTGAACTCCCAGAAAATCTCTTGTTGATGATCTTGGCAGACGGTTTTATCTGCGTTCTTAAAATAATATGTCATAACTGAAAAAGTCAAGAAAGTGGATTTGCTGTGTTGTTTCCAGTCTTTCCATCAAATTGGCACCTACTAAATATACATTTTTAAGAACTTTCAAATGTACTGATTGAGGGAGGTCCGTTATTCAGTCTTCCCTGAAGAAAAGGGCAAATCGAGTGTTTATGATTATTGTCAAATCATCTTAAGAGTGTGTCCATTTCTCCCAACGATTATTTTGGAAATTCTGAATAACAGTGGCCTCTATATAACTGGACACATACATCCCATAATCAGGTGGATGTGGGTTAGTTTTTATAATCCCCCGAAGGAAACTATTTCTTTCTGCCTCGGATTGCTATGAAATGCTATCTCAGATGCAGCAAGGCAGAAATCACACTCAGCATTTTGATCTTCTCTCTCTCGTTTCCTTGATGAGCTTCGTTGAATCATCCCCTCCACTGTTTGGGCAGCGTTTACAGTGGGCAGAAAAGACTGCAGGTGTGGGCTGGAGTCTGGAGCAGGCTGCACGGTGTGAGCAGCCAGCAGCTGCCAGCTGCAGTTCTTTTCAGCGTCTTCAGGTGGTGGTGTTCCAGTATAAACCGTGTGCAAGGGTATACAGGGCAGGGCCTATGCTGCCTCAGTACAGCTTGTCTCACATCCCGGCCCCTGGTGAAGACAGGCCAGAGGAGGGGAGAGCAGTGGATAATGTCAACAGCCGTTCATTCCTCATGAAGCGAAAAAGTGCAGTGGTGTTTGAAAGCTGCTTCTCTCCTAGGTCTGAATAAAAGTTATTTATTTCTACAATTCTGAGTGACGTCAACTTTCAGTGAAAAGTTGCCCAAGAGATTTGAGATACTCTAGAGAGAACAAAGGGTGGATCATCTTAAAAAATAGAACAGATGATATTTTGAGTTCATTCATGGGGGATTATTTCTCAGAATAATTGAATAGTTTATCAAGGATTGAAATCATCTACTGTTCAGAATTCAGCATAAATTTTAAATAATCTGGTGCCCAAAAGTTTTTAAAGTTTGAAGTGATTAATTGGAACAAGGTCTAGACTAATAGTAGTCAGGGGAAGTATTTTTCAGCAAAATACATTTTTTTCATAGCTGAAACATATTTAATATTCTTAATAATGTCCACAGTTAAGCTACAGATAAAAATGTGGTGGAAAAAGATTCTGCCTTTCTTTTTGGAGAGAAAAATGTGGGAACCTACTTGACAGTGATTTGGGAATTCAATTCAGTATTCAGTTTCCGAGGCCTTAGATTATCAAGTTTAAACAGCCTCTCACTTTTTAAATAAAGAGATTTAGGAAAACGTAATCTGTGTCTCTGTCCCAGTGATATTCCTCCTATGAGGCTTAATTGAGTATTTAAATTTACACCCACTCATTTTTGTACCTTTAAACTTATATTTCATTTGGTTATTACCTTTGTCAAACAAATGTTCAAATATTCTTGCTAAAATAAAATAATGAAAAAAATATGTATATTTCCAAATGGCGGCATCTAAAACAATTTTTGAACACATTTCCATGTGTACCGCTCTCTGAGAGACAACACATCTTTCAGAGCTGAGGTCCCTCCCCAGGTGAACGTGTGCACACACACAGAGACTTCCGAAAAGTACACGATAGCCCTCAGCTGATAGAGTGGTTTAAAATTGGAATAAATTAATACAATCAGTCTTAAAAAAAAACCTTTTCATTTTGAGGTAAGTAATTTGTAGAATCACATGCAGTTATAAAAATAATACAGAGAGCTTCCCAGTTTCCCCAGCAGTGACATCCTGCATAACTGTAGTTTACAATCAGTTATTTAAAAACAAGATGGATGGGAAGAAAATTAAATAATCGATCAGATTGAACAACACAGCTAATATTTTTTTTTCTCTTTTAAATTACAACTCAATTCCTTTGCAAAGAAAAGATTGCCAGGACTGGATGAACATGACAGATATGAAAAAATGCAAGGTTCAATGGAAAAGAACTCTTGACTGTTTGGCTAATTTGATTTTTCTTTCACTGTTAGACAAAAATCATATTTAAAATTTATTAATTTTGGAATAAATCCAACCAATCTTTATTATGCAGTATGATAGCGATGAGGATTTAAGGCCGAATCCACCACTTACTGTGTAACTTTGGGTGAATACGTTCCTTCCCTGAGCCGCCATCCTCACCTGGACGTGGGATAAGAACAGCTCTCTTACGTGCTTGTTGTCAGGACAAGAGGAGGCAGTCAGTGCAGGACGTCATCGGAGCGTGGTGCTCAGTCGCCACCGGCCTCATCTGCTGAGTGTCCTCCTCGTGCCACACAAGAGACGCACAGCTTGATAAGACAAGTTTCTGCCTGCCATAAACCCACAGTCCAGAGAGACAGAGAGGGAGAGAGAGAGATTTAATTAAGTAAAGTGAGGAAAGTCTCAGCAGAGATGCACTTACAAAGTGTTATGTGCGTAGAAAAGGGGGAAAGGTTAATTCGAGGCCAAGAGGGATTGAGAAAGGCTTAACAGAAATAGTTTTTTTTTTAAAGCTAAGTTGACTCGAAGGAAAAGTAGAGATTTTCTAGCACTTTTCACCTGCAGAGATCCCGCAAGAATCGTGTACCTGTTTTCTAAAGGGGACGCTGAGTCTACACACATTTGACTCCTTGGTGTCTCCCTCATGGCTTTGCCCTTGGACGCAGAGCCACCGCCGTTCTTCCAGCAACCCAGAAGGCTGCTTCCAGTTGGTGCATTCCTGAATCATCTCATTAGACAGTTGTGCCTTTTCAGAGAGTGGGCTGCAAGGACGGACAGTGTGTGTGGGTGCCCAGGAGGACACTGAAACAAACCAGTGCCCAGGACTGCTGGGGGATTTGATGTGAGTGGAAAAGACGTCTTAATCAGTGAAGAGACGGAGAGATGACCCGTGTTTGCATTGGCTTGGCACACACCACCACCTTAACTCCTTCACTGTCATTAAAGGATAAATTTTAAAAGAGGATGTAATCATAACTCTTATACAAATATAAATGAACACACTTCAAAGATTTTACTTAACTCATTAATGAAGGAACTGGTAAGACATTACATGTACTCAAAAGAGAGCTCAACATATAGTCAGATGATGAATGCTGAAATGAATTTACAAGTGGATTCAAACTAGCAAAACGTGTCAATATCCACAAGGCTATAATTGGTGGCATTCCGCTGGACACAGCTTGCGTGTCTATGGACAGGAACTAGTAGCACTGCTGTGGCAGGCAGATTTCTAAGACAGCCCCAAGATCCCGCCCCCTGGTGTATATATATCCTGCCCCTGTGTATAATCCCGCCCCTGCCCTGCCTTGTGTGTGGGCAAGACCTACGATGGGACAGCTTCTCCCTCGATGAGGTTACATTATATGGCAGAGGTCTCCTGTGATCATGACACGTAACATAAGATTCCATCCTGGTAGCCTGAAAAGAGATTCTCGTGCTGGCTTTGAAGAAGTAATGTGACAGGTTGTGAGGGCCTGTGGCTAGGACCTGAGGGCAGTGTGTAGAACCGAGTGACCCCTGGCCAGCAGACAGTCTACACCTGCAGGGACCTGGGATCTGCTTGTGATCCAAATGGACTTGGAAGAGAGCCCTGTGGTCCAGATGAGAACGCAGCCCTGGCCGACGTCTTGATTTCAGCTTTTTGACACCTTGAGCGTGTCACAGCCAAATAGGGGTCCTCTACTCGCCACAAAGATAAGCCAACAGTCCAGACGTGAGATGGAACGAGAGAAAGGGCCTTTTATTATTATTACAGCTTGCTAGCAAGGGGGAAGATGGCGCGCTAGTGTCCGTAAAAAACCGTCTTAAAACTACAAACTTTTGAAGCAGTTATATAAGACAAATGGGCTGAAGGGGGGTGTGTTTCGGAGTGTGACCATCTGGTGTTGTAGTCCTTGAGACGCCAGATCATCCCTTTTTCTTGTCACCGGTGATGGATACCAGCATAGAGGCTCCTTTCTGAAGGTCATTACATCCCTGGGAAAACTTAAAGAACAAAAAGTTACTGTCTTATCATAGCAGGGAGGTTTACGTGTAAGCTAAGGCTGAGAAAGTAGCAGAGCATGCATATTGCTCACAAGCAGGTGTGGACTTATCCAGGCCACGTGTAAACTAAAGTAGTGCAGACTCAACAAAGGGGTGCCTGTGGATCAGGGTCATTTACAGCTTCAACATGGTTCCCTTCCACAAGATGGCTTCCCTTATGCTAACTGATGCTAACCTGTGACTGCATATCTATCATAGCTATTTAAGCAGCGCTAACAAGCAGAGGACCCTGGGCTTCTGGCACGAAGAAACTGAGATATGAGTGGATATTGGCTAAAGCCACTACATTTGTGGTGATTTGTTACACAGCAGTAGAAATGAATTCAATTACTATCTGTTTCCTACAGATTAACTTTGGTCTTTGCAGAGCTGTAAAAGAGCCGAGTCACAGACAAAGAGAGAGAACCCAGATGGCTGAGCTGGCAGGGTACCCACTAAATTTTAGTCTTTGACAATTTTTCCTCAGTCTGCATTGAAACAGACTGTCCCTAAACTTTTACATTTGTGATCATTTCACCATGTGCTGCTCTGCTTTGTTTTTTAACTAGCTTTTGGCTCCTAGTCACAGAGTAGGAGCAATCAGAGTTAGCTTGATTCTAGAACAGTCTCCAGGGGGATTTGTGCTTTCATCTTAAAGGAGGAAATGCAGCTTCTGGAGGAATATTGGGCAAGACTTCCAAGGCCTGCAGGTATAGCTAAGGCTGTCCCCTTATCCGATTAGACTGAATTAAAATGCTGGGAAGGTACTCGAAGAGTCCTCCCATATGTGCAGAGAGTGACGGAAAGCAGGTACCCGCCACTGAGGACCCTGGAGGAGACACATCCCCAGGAGTCTCTGAAAGATGAAAGGGTTCATTAGGTCAGAGAGACCATCATCCTGTCAGGACGCTGCCCTGAATGAAGAGGACTTAGGTTGAATTTTCAAGTTGAGTGGATGGTCATAACTCAAGGTATGTACAAAGACTAGGAGCCGCGTAGAGAAGGCCCAGGGGCTCCCAGTGAACTGTGCACGTGAGGCAGAGCAGGTGGCCCAGGCACTGGTGAGAGATGAGAGCGGCAGAGGGAGTGGGGTGGGGCACACGTGGTCTCCAGATATCCACATTTCAACATGGTTTCATGGGACACACTGGCTCCTCCAGGAGCTGAAGATAGGGTTCTGATAGCGAGGTGGATGTGGTGGAAGGTGATGCCTGGCAAAGCCTTAGAGTATGAGAGCTCTGTGGACTTCTGGGCTCTAGTCCCTCATTTAGCTAAGAAAAGGAGTCAAGATTGTGCAGGTCGTTAGTGTCAAGTCTGGAACCTGAACCCTGTTCTCTTTAGTCTGAGTCCAGTGTGGCCTTCACTCACCCACACAGCTTATTTCCAGGAAGAAAAATAAATAAGTACGTACATACATAAATAAAGTAGCTGGAGGAAAGAAGGTTACAATTGTTTGAGGTTACCGCGACATAAATAATTCATAGAGAAAGAGGAATATTTGAGAAATAAGGAAGAGGAAGCCAGATTTGGCAGTTTCTTGGATAAAAAGTGCAGAAAACAAAACAGAAAATGATATGCTTGGGTGCACTGGCTCTCTGTCACTGAAGAGTGAATGACTACAAACCTAGAGGCTGGAAGCAGCCCACTTGCTGTTTCGCAGTTTCTGCAGCTCGGGAGTCTGGGTGTCTTGGCTGGGCCCTCTGCGTCAGGGTCTTTTCCCAGGCTGCATAGAGATTCAGGCAGGGCTGCAGTCTCATCTTAAGGTTAGGTTGGGGAAGAACCCAGGTCCAAGCTCATGTGACTGTTGACAGGATTCAGTTTCTTGCTGGCTGGTGGCCAGATGTCCCCTCTGTTTGTCACATGGGCCTCTCAATAGAGTGGCTCACAACATGGCAACTTGCCTCATTGAACCTAACAAGGGAGAGAGATGGCTGGTGAGACGAAAGTTAGAGTCTCATGAGACACAGTCACACAAATGACATCCCATCATCTCGGCTGTAATCTCTCGGCCCAAAGAAGTCCTAGGTCTTGCCCACACTCAGGGGACAGGATTAACAAGGATGTAGTACCAGGAGGTGGGGTCACTGGGGCCCTTTTAGAGTCAACCCAGCTTTTGGAAAACTTGCAATTCCTCCAAGGACACAAGAAAATGTATATGAAGAGGCTGTTAAGGGAAATAAAGTCAAATTGCTTAGCTTGCAAAAAAGCCCACAGAAAACCTAGAACTCTAGACAATTTGAGATAGAATATTTGACAGAGACTGTTTAGAGGAGGCCAGAGGTGTTGGCCACATGTAGCTCATAAGAAAGTGTGAAATTATGGGACGGAGACCCAAGTGGAGGAAGCAGCGAGGGAGTACTTGATGTTAAAACAAACAAACAAACAAGCCAGAAAGCTGCATATGAAAGTAAAGACACTTCACATGGATGGAGGTAATACTTCTTCAAGTCCCAAACATAGACACTAAAGAAGACAGAAAAAAAAAAGGCATTTCAAAATTTTATGAACATGGTATCCTTTAAGCAAAAAGAGTGGAAATGAGATTCGAGAGACTTAGGGGTGGGAAGTGAGAAGAAACAACTGGATTTACTGTTAAAGTGATGGGAGGAAGAGGGAGGGGAAAAACTAACAGATGGCAGATGCGAGGAGATGAGAAACATCAGCCCACTGGCTCTGCTGAGATTTCTTCTTTCTGCAAGCTGCCTCTTCGGAAAGACACTCCGAGTTGATAACACGGCTCGCCATCCTCTTCCAGGAAACTCGCCAAGTCGACGCTGGTCCTGGTGCTGGTCTTCGGGGTGCACTACATCGTGTTCGTGTGCCTGCCTCACTCCTTCGCGGGGCGTGGGTGGGAGATCCGGATGCACTGTGAGCTCTTCTTCAACTCCTTTCAGGTAGAGAGCGCTTTTTCCTCGTGTGGCTATTTGTTTATATTTTATCCTTCTGTCTTTCCTGCTGAAGGTGAGCTCCGGGGGCACAGGGACCTTGTCGGTCTTGTCTTTCCTTGCGTTGTTTATCCCTGTCACGCTGTGCAGCTAGCACTGTATACGCTCCATAGATATTTTTGAATGAATGAAAGAAAGTTTCTTTGTGTTTTTACCATATGATACTCTATGCCTGTAGTTTCCGGCATTCACAGTGGATAAACATCTCTTACCGACTAGGGGATGTTCCATGATCCTTGAGTGGCAACAGAAATGAGACTAATATAATAGAAATCTGTTCTTTGTGCATCTTGGAGTGTTTTATTCAGTTACTTGTTTGGTTCAGCTGACACCAAGGAAAGATCTCAAATTTAATGTAAACTCAAGAATTTGGGAACATTAGAAGAGAATAATTTATATCATTTTCCGAAGGAATTACTAAAAAATAAACCAGTTTTTCAACTTATACATCATTTGACCCCAGACACGTTGATGCTGTGATCTCCTTGAACCGTCAGTGTGCTGACACCCCTTTTGTTCTGCAGGGCTTCTTCGTGTCCATCATCTACTGCTACTGCAACGGAGAGGTAGGTTTGAAGGCACGGACAGCCCCCAGGTCTGGCTCTGAGGAAGCTTATAATGGCCTTCACCATGTGACCTGAATCTCTTTAGGATCCCCAGGAGTTACAGGATAGAGTGGGCAGGGAGAAGGCAGATATTTCAATCATAAATTATTTTGAGAAAGCAAGAATTAATGTCAATAAGCTAAGGTCTTCCTCGTCCAGCACTTTTATTTTATTTTATTTATTTATTTTTTCGTCCAGCACTTTTAAATGTCAATTCAGTTGCAAACCTTGATACCAAAAAACAACTTGTTGTATATTTGGAAGGACAGTGAACTTCACCTTCCTGTTACGCTTCAACTTATGTTCAATTTGAAGTTCTGTAAGAAACTCAAATATAAGCTTCCCTGGGACAAATCCACTAGAACATTTTGACATTTTTTAAACTACAGGATGGTGATGGGACAATTTCAGTTCATTTTGGAGTTGGCTTGAGAGAAGTAACCCACTGTTCTTTTAGGTGACTTGAGCTTACCTGGAACTTCTTGTGGAACTTCCAGATGAGCTCCCTTCTGGAAGGTGGCAATAGCAGTAGAATCTTCAGCCCCAAGGGTGGAAATGAGCCCCACCCTATTGAGGATGCATTTGCAGTGGCTGCTTCTCAATGTTCAATCTTCTTCCCATTTTCCTCCTTCAGCACACACGTGTAGAGTGGTGGTGTGGCAGTAAATTTCCAGTTGAACACCTACCCCACTCCTCAGCCACAGCTGGCACAGTTATCTCTCTTTCTTCTCAAACTGGGAGTGAAGTCAGGTGTTTCTATTGGCTCATTTCACCTTCTATTAAAATTCCAATCATGGACAAGTCGCTTTCCCTCTCTTCAAGCCTCGGGTTGCTCATCTCCAGTGCTATCGCGAAGGTTTTTTGAGGTTGAGAGAGAATATATATGTCAAATCCCTAGCACACAGTGGAACCTCGGTTATTACCACCATCACTGAAGGGCAGACACCCACCTGACAAGGCTGCAGGGTCTCCCTGATGGCTTCTGATGCACAATGTTTCTTGTGGTTTAGGTTCAGTCTGAAGTGAAGAAGTCGTGGAGTCGGTGGAATCTCTCTGTGGCCTGGGAAAGGAGGGCTCTGTGCAGTGGCCACAGGTGCGGCTCTGTGCTCACCACTGTGACCCCCAGCACCAGCAGCCAGTCGCAGGTGGGGGCCAGCGCCCGCATGGTGCTCCTCTCGGGCAGAGGGAGCAGGACGGCCTGCAGACAGCCCAACAGCCGCGTGACTTTACCTGGCTATGTCTGGAGTGGCTCAGAGCAGGACTGCCTGCCACACTTGATCCAAGAGGATACCAGGGAAGGCAGCGGGAGGCAGGCAGACGAGACCGCAATGGAGGAGTCTTCCAGGCCATTGGAATTTAACCCAGACACTGGAGAAAGCAAAGGAGAAATGGAGGATGTTCTCTGAATTAGCATCTGCGGCTTTAAAAAGCTGGTCCGTCTGGTCCGGTGGTTGTGAGAGAAGCTTAGCTGGCATTTCTCTGCTTGATCCCCAGAGCTGGACATTCGGGGTGGAGAGTTACTTCACAGAGGTTTTCGGGCTCCGTGAATTGGCTCCTGTAAATACTAAAGGCACAGAAGGAGAAGCGTCAGTGGAGTAGTTTATTACCTTATTTTGGCATCAAATTCTCTTCTAAATTGATGTGTGGTACTTGCTCTGTGTTCAATTTCTGCTACTTTTGGGTAGAAAACATTTCAATTGCTTGGCTCTAGTTTTCTCTCATAAATATCTCTCTAAGTATGATAGGTATCACTTAGTATGTGTCATTTTCCTTTTAAGAAATTAGCATTCTCTTTCTTACTTTAATGCCTCATTTTGCCTGTTCATAGGAGCAGGTAGAGTCTGAAAATGTACGTTGAAAGATTAAAGATCTAAGGGCAAGTGCACATTGGAAAATAAGTTGGTTGGACTTTGATAAAATAATAAATTTGTGACAAACATGTTTCTTTCTAGAAACGAGGAAAATTACTCAAAAAAGAATGTCACCCATATTCGTCCTCTTGAATGTCCCCTCTGTGACCAGCAAATCTCAGGTCTTCACTGCTTTGTAAGCTTTGACTAGTCACGGTTTTTCTTGGTCAGTGAGCTTGTGTCTGCAAACTGATTTTGTTTGTAATCATTTATGTGGATGGTAAATCACACTGCACCTGTGGCTTTTCCTTCTTTGTTCTGTTACTGTATTCCAAATGGCATGTGGGATAAATTAAAAGTTTGTTTTAAAAATACATTTTGGGCCACTTTTTAAAATGTTCTCTCAGCATCTCACTTGGTTTTTGAGAACCTCCCGCACATCCCTTCTCCACGTCTGCAGAGATCAGCGTGTAGCTCCCATACTTCTCTGAGCTTGACGTTTCAGCGTGTTGCCATAGTGAACAATTTACTGAGTGCGTGTCAGACACCGGCATTCTGCTAGGTTTCTGCAAGCATTAGCTAATTTAATCCTCACTACAAACTGTGGAGTGAGTCTTACTGCCGTCACCTACCACACCACGTGACAATGTGACTCCCGGAAGTGGAGGGACTTACCAAGGTCACGCTGGTTGTTGACAGTGTGGCTTCAGACACAGGCCTGCTGACTTCTAGTCCCTCCTTCTTACCATTCTCTCGATTGTCACCCATACGTGTGTCGCCCAGTAACCAGTCAAAATGTTCAAAGAATTCCTTCTGGGTGGAGAGTGCTTTAGGAACTCGTACTGTAACATGTTCTAGCCTCTGTCCTCATGAAGTTTCCACTCTAATGGGGAGACAAATACATAGAGGATATGAGAACATCACAGAGCAACGTGTTTCCAGGTGAAACGACCAGGGCAGGCTGATCTGTCTCATTTTGCTGAGTGATTTAACCAACATGCGAATAGTGTCATGATGAGTAAAGTACTCTGAGGTCTACACACCCTCTTTCCCTCCATGCTCGTTCTTTCCTTCCTCCTCTGTGCCGTACAGAGGTCCTTCCTGTCCTGTTTATGAAGGTACCATTGTGCGTATTTACTTCAATGCTGTGTTGCCGCATCCCCATGCTGCCTCCCTGTTATGAGAGAACCATCATGGGCTGAAACACAGATTAAGTTTTGTTCCATTGCTAATTTTCTGCAAGTCTTTATAAAATCACTTAACTTTCTTTGTAGTTCAAGTTCCTCATCTTTAATGTGAAGATACTGTCTGTCCACCTTAGAGAAATGTTCTGATAATGAGGAGAAATCGCATTTTGAAAGCCCTTTGTAACATAAAAATTCCATACAAATACTTGGTTTAGGTTGTTGTTACATTATTGTTTTAAGTTAAATCTCGTTTTGCCCCATTACGTTATAAAGGCCTCACTGATCATTGCAACACAATTGTTAGAGTATATATATTTTGAGAATATAGAAAATATTAAGGGTTCTTAATTTCTAGGCCAACCCCAAATTCTAAGGCTAGACCAGTGCTTCTTTACATTAACAAGTATGAATATAGCCATCAGAGGTACCAAGGTTTTTCTTAAAGTTGAGTCATTCATTAACTGAACAAATATGGACTTAGAGCCCATTGAGTGACAGATCCTAGGCTGTGCGGGGCCATAACAAATAAGGCACAATTTATTCCCCCAGAATGTGCGGTGGCCCAGGGTTTGCCAGTTTGGATCTCGGGCGCGCACCGACGCACCGCTTGTCAGGTCATGCTGTGGCAGGCATCCCATATAAAGTGGAGGAAGATGGGCATGGATGTTAGCCCAGGGCCAGTCTTCCTCAGCAAAAAGAGGAGGATTGGCAGATGTTAGCTCAGGGCCGATCTTCCTCACAGGAAAAAAAAAATTCCCCCAGAACAAAGGACTCTTGGTGCCAAGGCTCTTTATCCCATCTGTGTACACATGTTTTCCTCACAGGATTTGATGTTGTTTGTATCCGATCAGACAGCTAGGACTATCAGTTACACCCGTCTATTGATTTTATCAAGTAAAATATTGAGCAGTTCTCAAGGATCAGCTGATCTAGATCCCAAGGTGCAAACCGTGGCTGACGAGCTAAATTTGTTCCATAGCTGTGCTTTATTGCTCTGTCAAGGGGTTGCGGTATATTATTTAGTTACCAACATTGAAAATTGGAGTGATTTCACTTAAAAATTGTACTTGAAGAATTATGAAAATAACAGAGGGTCTTAGAGCCAAGAGACAGCTGTTGAAGCTTGGTCTTGGCTGGTCCCTTCAGATGCCGACAGAGGCTCCAGTATGCCCAGTGCCCTCCTGGCCTCATCCGGTTATTCTGTCGCCTGCCTGGCCTCCAGACTCGTGTGACCTACCTCAGGGGGATCAGGACAGTGTGCTTATGTAGACCTTTAACAGTAGTTTTCTAAAATGTTCTTGGGGAGTGGCATCCTATATAAGTTTAATTTTTCTAGTGAAGTAAGCACCCAAGTATTTTTATGTGTAGTGGTATTTAATTTAAGCTTCAAATAATGACAGTTATTCTGTTTAGATGAGCCTATTAAGAGAAAAATTCATCCCACAATTTCCAAGCTTTCAGATCCCAACCACACTATTCAAAGCTTCACTTTCTAAGTCGTCACTACAAGGCCTTTACTGCTAATGCAACAGATATCTTTCCCTTTGAAAATACAGTAAGTTCTAGATGCAAGAGGATGAAATGGTATGATAGGTTACAGGGGTGTGTGAAGACAGCCTTATATGGTTTGTTGACATGGATAGAAAATTTTGATACCCTATTTTTTCTGTAGCCAAAAGAAAGCCTAACATCAGAGATAATCAGTTTTCACTGCCTAGTGTAAACAGGAATGACTTTGATTGCATAACTCTTACTGTCATAGCATTGTTTCTTTCTGCTCTCATTAAGTGAGATGGAAACATCTTTGCTTTGCAGGTTCTAAAGCTGTCAAAATAACTGCTGTTTTTGAATCATTGGAAGAAAACGAGTAAGGTCCGTGTGAGTTGTAGTCTATTATTCACACCCAGAGACTAATACTATATAATTCAGGAGTGATCTCTCTTGGAGATTGTGGTGGGCAGGATAAGCATCCCCACCCACAGATATCCACATACTAGTTCTGAGAACCTGTAACTATATTAGGTTACTTGGCAAAGAGGAATTAAGGTTGTAGGTGGAATTAGGTATCACTAATCAGTGGACTTTACTTAGGGAGATTTTCCCGGGTTATCTGGGTGGGCCCCATGTAGTGACAAAAGTCCTTCAAAGTGAGGAGGGAGGCAGGAGAGGGAGTCAGAGAGATGTGCTGTAGGAAGGACTGTACTGGCTTTGAAGATGGAGGAAGAGGCCAGAGGTTAGGGCGCGTGGGCGGCTTCTAGGAACTGGAAAAGGTGAAGAAATGAATTCTCCCCCAGAGCCCCTGGAAAGGAACACAGCCCTGTTGACACCTCGATTTTAGCCCAGTGAGACCCTTGTTGGACTTCTAACCTATAGAACTGTACGATAATACATTTGTGTTGTTTTAAGCCACTGAATTTGTGGTAATTTGTTATGGCATTCATAGAAACCTATTACAGAGATTTATACAGATTGCCCACGTGGAAAGAATTGTAATGGTTGACCAGAGTTAGGCTGTATAATTGCTATAAAGCCGCCGCTATCTGGCGACTTTGTGGAGGTCAATTATTTTGCTAACGTTTGTGGTATTTTATGTGCTGCATTTACAAGGAGGAAAGTTGTCTAGTTTGCCATTTAACTATAACTAATTTTCTTACCAGTAATTGTTTCATTTTAGAAATGTAAATATTTATATGGTTGAGTTTATTCAAAATCTGTGGAGGACATTTCTCATCTTTTCTAAGGAGTTATTAAATGTCTTATTTTGATTAATTCAATCTTTTTCTCTCCTTAAGCCTGCTCTGCCTAGTCCTCCACTCCACTCTTAGACCGTCTCCCTGAGACACAGGGAATCGATGGCTCAGTAAAGCTCTCACCTGCTCGTCCTGGGAAGTTCTAGGCTCAGAAGGTGGCCTCCCTGTGTGTTGTTCAGGAATAACATAGATACGCAGTCTGTTTTGGGAACTGAGCTCAGTGTTTTCAGTATATTTTATTTTATTATATAATCTTCATAACACACTATGATGTAGGTATCACATTCCAAAAATGTAGAGATAATCAGAAGTTAGATAGTTTGCTCCAGATAAAAGTGGCTAAGTCAGGATTTGAACCCAGTTCAGTTTGACTGTAAAGCCCCTGATGGTTCTTTCATCTATTTGTCCTGATCACTGTCTCTAGCAAGAGCCTAATAGTTTGCCGAGTCAACGAGGGAAAAAATAAGAATAGTTTCAACTATTTTGATGGTAGAATTGTAAATAATTATAGGAATGTAAAAAACAATAATAACGTGATTATAGTTTTAAATAAAAGCATTTTTATCTACCAGTATTTCATGACTACCAGAATAAACAATAACTTATGAATCTAAATTCT